CATGACCACACCTACACAATGACCACACCCACACAATGGCCAGACCTACACAATGGCCATGCCCACACCATGGCCATGCCTACACAATGACCACACCCACACAATGACCATGCTCACACCACTACCAGTCCCACCATAACCACGCCAACACCTGACCATGCCCACCATGCCCAGCTCCATCATGGCCTCACGACCACAGCCCTGCCCACCCACCCCAATGACGTAGCGGTGGATCCCGCGCTCCTCAGCCGCGTCCAGGGCCTTTGGGTCATGGTCGGTGGCATCGCCATCAGTGATCATCACCAGGACTCGCCGTGCCCCCGGCCGTGCCCCTGCCTCCTCTGAGAACAGCTCCTTCCTGCAGCCACGGGGCACTGATGGGACTGCAGCGGGGAGCACCGGGCGGGTGGGGGGCACAGGGGCTGGTTCTGGGGGGCAGGGGCACTGGGGGGGGGGGTGAGGGGCTAGGGGATAGTGGGGCCTGGGGGTAATTGGGGATTTTGGGGTGTGGTGGGGGCTGGGGGTAATTGGGGGCTAGGGGCACAGTGGGGGGTGCAGGGAGGGCTGGGGGGGTCATTATGGGTTTGGGGGCTGGGGGTGGCAGTAGGGTGCTGTGGTGTGGTTATGGGGCAGATTCAGAGGACGGGGGGGTGCTGAGGGTGTTGGAAGGCAGCTCTGGGCAGCAGTGGGGGGCTGAGGGCACTCGGTGCACAGCTGGGGGGCACTGGGGCTCAGTAGGTGGCACTGGGGGGGCAGCAGGGGGGCAACAGTGGAGCAGTAGTGAGGCAGAGGAGGGGCAGTGGGGGGACAGCAGGGGGACAATGGGGTGCTGGGTGGTGGGGAGCAGCCAAGGGACAGCAGTGGGGCACAGGCGGGTGCTGGAGGGTGGCAGTGGGGTGTAGGGGTGCACAGGGGCAGCAGTCAGTGGGGTGCAGTGGGGTGGGGCAGAAGTAGGGCAAAGGGGGATTGGGAAGTGGCAGTGGGGTGCAATGGGGATCAGGGTGGTTCTGAGGGCCAGCAGTGGGGGTACTGCCTGGCTGTGGGGGTGGCTGTGGGGCACAGAGATGGCATTAGGAGAGCAGTGCTGCAGGGTGTGAGAGGGAGCGGAGGATGGTGTGGGGCATAAGGGGTGGCCAGGACAGTGGGGGACAGTGGAGGGCAGCGGGGGGCAGTGGGGCAGCTGTGGGGCAGGGCATGTCTCACGCGACGAAGCCGATGGCAGCGAAGGTGTCGGTGAGGCCCCCGCGCTGTTCCAGCCCCTGCAGCAGCTCCCGGGGCCGTGGCCGGGCCGCGAATTCCTTCAGCGTAAACACGGTCTGGACCCTGTCCGAGAACTGCACCGCCCCGAACTGCCCACAGGGGCTGCTCTCAGTGTCCAGCCTGCCGTGGGCCCAGAGCCCCCCATAGTCCCCCGGTGCCCCCGGTGCCCCCACAGTGCCCCCAGGGACCCCATCCCCACAGTACCCCCTGTAGCTCCCATCCCCAGAGTGCCCTCGATTGCCCCCATCCCCCACACTGCCCCTTATAGCCTCCCTCACCACAGTGCCCCCTATAGTCCCCTCCCACAATTCCTCTATCCCCCCATCCCCCCGTAGTGCCCCCTGTAGCCCCCATCCCCACGGTGCCACCATAGCCTCCACTTCCATCCCCCACAGTGCCCTCTATGGCCCCCATGCCCCACAGTGCCTCCATAGTCCCCATAGTCCCCCCCTATAGATCACATCCCCCCCCATTGCCCCCTATGGCCCCCATCCCCTATACTGGCCCCTGTAGGCCCCATACCCCGCCATTTCTGCCTGCACATCACCCCACTGAACTCCCACCCACACTCCACGCCCACCCGGGGCGTACATGGATCGAGGTGTTCTGCAGCTTCTCCATCACGTCCACCATGAAGTCCCGGATGGCCTTGAACTGGGAGGTGCTCATGCTGCTGGAGTCATCGAACAGGAACACCAGGTCCACCGGGCCCCGCTGGCAGCCTGGGGTCAGAGGGGGCCACTGGGGGGTCAGCACCAGGGTAGGGGGGGCACAGGGAATGGCTCAGTGGCCCCATGGGTCAGCCAGGGTCACTGTGGGTCCATGATGGCCTCCATGGGTCAACCATGGTCCCTATGGGTCAGCCCTGGGTCAACCACAGGTCAACCACCAGGGTCAAGCACCATGGCCAGCATGGGTCAGCCATGAGGTGACCCTGTTCTCCATGGAGTGGGGGACCATCTCTGGGGCAGGCTCCTCACCCTGGTATCCAGGCATCAGCTCCTGTCGTGTTCTCAGCTGGGGGTCCAGCAGGACACAGACCCCGTTCGTGTAGACATTGCGATCGCAGACGTGGGTCAAGCCGGGGCCACAGGCCTGGGGAGGGGGAAGAAAGAGGCAGGGGGTGGAGCTGAGGGGAAGGGGGTGGGGTCGGCCCCCCTTCCCCAGGATGGGGAAACTGTTGGACTCACGATTGTGATATCACCATCCCGGGCCAAGGCCATTCCTATGTGGGTCCGGGTGCTGTTCCCTGGGGATGGGGTTTAATCCTAATCCTGTCCCAATCCCATCCTAATCCAGTCTCGATCCTGCCCTAATCCTACCCCTCCCCCATTTTAAATGACACCCCATCCCCACCCCATCCCAACCCCACCACCTATTATAATCTCATCCTCATTACACCCTAATCCTGTCCCCACTCCAAACCCACCCCTAAAACCACCCTACCCACACCCCCACCCACACCCTAATCCCACCCTAATCCCACCTCAGTACCACCTCACTCCCACTCAAAACCCATCTCCAAATCCCTTCCACCCCCAACCCTAATCCAATCCCTAATCCCATACCAATCTCACCATAATCTCACCCCACTCTAACCCCACCCACTCCCAGTTCTCCCCAACCCACCCCCACCCCACTCCCATCCTAATCTCACCCAAATTGCCCCTAATTCCACTCCAACCCTACCTGTAATCCCAGCCCATCCGCACCTCTAATTTCACCCCACACCCACCCATAATCGCACCCCAGTCCCTCCTA